GGCAGGCTGTGCCAGATGTGGCGGAATATCTCACCAAAGCCTAGCTCGGATGACATTCTGTGACGTAATGATAGTAGCAGCTGAGAAATTTCGCATATCCTGTCTACTGTCTAGTGTCTGAAGAGGAAATCTGAACAGGCAGGCATAGCAGAGCAAGCAATTTAGCAATCACTGAACTAGCAATCAAGCTACAACCAAATGAAGCATTCGGTCAATGTCTCTAGAATGGAACTATGTAATTATTGAAATGTCTATTTTATGCATCGTAGTCTATGCTATGCAACATTTTATGCAGCACGCATGCTATGCAGTGCATGCACCCTGTAGTCTATGCAACATTTGGCGACATATATGTCAGCCACCCTAATTATTTAGCAGCTATGGCCCTGATCGGCGTCTGGGCCCTGCCGCACTCCCTCCTCCCCCCCCCCCCCCTGCACCACCACACACACATACACTAGTACTACACTCATGCCTATTGCCTATACCACACATATCCATGCTTTATAAATTCCCACCAAGATAAGCCGACGGCCTCGAGTCATTCATGCTTTACACGGGGTCATAAAGTGAGGACGCTTTGTACGAGAACGATGGCACCGGGCGTCGGCCTATTTGACTGAGGGGTAGCGTCCGTCTCCTTTACGACTTTGCCTGGGTCCTTAAGGAAATGGCCTGGCCTGGCGTAGATCGCGCTTAATTGGCAATGTGCGATGCCAGCGAACACAGCACTCATCAGAAGTGGAGGACTCAGACAACGGCTAGTTGAGGGATGTAATAGGCCAACGCGAACAAATATAGCACATTCACATTGCAAAAATACGGTTGCGTACTGAAAAGTACAGTGGGTGGGCTTAGCACTGCGCTATATGTATGTAAATAACTATACGAGCTTGGGACAAAACTGAAACCTTTTGATAAAACAGGACCTGAACTGAAATGTATTTTGCATACATATGTAAGTGTATGCTGGATAGCTGCTTGCATTGCTAACTTTATATGTGAATTTATCAACAAGGTGCCATGATACATGTAAATATTGTTTTGTCAAAAACCAAAGCAATGGAATGGTGTGGCCATTCGGACAGTTGGCCCTCGGTAACAAAATAATCACATATACTGACACTCGTATTACTGATCATTTTTCCATAATAATATTTTTTAACAAGATTGTTGGTGATTGTACTTAAAACATTTAAAATTTGTGTGCTTTTATTTCATTTTTTCGTTTCATCGTCTTCGTTTTATGTAATTATTGTTAATCATTTCCAATATTGGAGTGTTTCTGATTTTAACCTTTTTGTCATTGGGTACGTCACATATCATTGGGACATCAAAACACAAACATACGCCGGTAGGAATCTTAACGGGGACCAAACATATCGTATAGGGATCGAGACAGAGACGTAAAGGCCGGGCTCCACTACGCGTTTTTTCCGTGCGTTTTATCCGAGACATCGGTTTTTGCGTGAAATCGTTCCCGAAAAAAAAGTTCGCATCATTGCTCAACATTGGGCAAGCTACACTGGAAACGATGTCACGCAAAACACGACAACTTGCAAATCCCGTACCGATTTTAAGGAAATCTCGGTAAAACGCATGACGATGTCACGCAAACTCGGAAATCTCGTACCTATAAAAAGTTCAATTATTTGAACTTTTCATCGTTTTTTTTTTGCGTGATACGGCCGGGAGACATGACTTGTGCGCTGCGGCAAACAGTGTGAATGTAATTTTGTGTTTGTTTTTGACGTTGTTAAATATGTTTTCAATTATTGTGTTGAAGATAGGAAATTTTTGTAGAAGTGTTTTTAGTGTAAAGAGGATGAGTGAAGGTAAGAAATAATAAAAAATAGCAACCCTACATATTTCATTTTGCGCTTAACCCTCGCCCGCACATGCCATTTTCCCATCCTAGAACGCACATGGGGGGGGGGGGGGTGGTTGCCACCCCCCCCCCCACGCCATTTCGTTCCTGTTGGAGATAGAGCTTAGCGGTAAAGACCAAAAAGATTCTTTGGGAAGAGACGAATCCAATGATACACAGTTTTACCTTCTCAGGTCAGTCATTGACCTTCCAGGTCAGGTCAAACTAAAAAATGTTGCTGTTTTGGGTCACCGTTGGATATCAAGTGCGCTGCTTATCAAATACCGATGACGATGCTGTTTTCTGGTGCCAAGCCAGCTAGAACCTCTTTGTCACACTACCCGACCATAATTTTGCTGCTGAGGTCATTTCAGGTCAAGTTAGGTCAAGGTCAATTATATGTGTTTGTATGTCTGTGTGTGTCTGTGTGTATACTGATGTGTGCACCGATTGTTTTTGGGTCCATATTACATGAAATCATGATCTGAGAAGCTTTTACCAAAAATGCAGTCAAAAAACTTCACAAAATGTAAATTCAGCTTGCCTAAAACGCAATTATCTTAGATGACCTAGGTTGACCTTGACCCTGACCTTGACCCCTGTACATCGTCGAACAACATGTTCCATGATAGGTGGGAGGTAAGACTGGCAAAAAAGGCCGAAATCAGGGTGTCAAAAGCTCACAAGGCCCATGGCAAACGCAAGATGTTGAGAATTGGCCATTTGGGTCATGACATGACCTGAAAAACAAGGTCATATCTCCAAAACCAAAAGTCACAGAGACTTGAAATTTTCAGTGGACATCAAGAAAGGATAGAGGAGCAGCTATACGAAAAATCAGCCTTCTAGCTCTAAAAATGTTGAGTGCAGAGCAGAAAGACTACCTGGGGGGGGTGGCAACCACCCCCCCCATGTGCGGGCGAGGGTTAAAGGGACCCTCCCACCTTCAAAAAAGTTAATGAATTGGCATGAAAGTGATGTCGCTCGGTTCAGAAAGAGCGAAAACGAATATGTACCAAATTTCATCGAAAAATATTCACCGGTTTTCAAGATATTAGACTTTTACTTTTGTTTACTTTTTGGGATCTCCGCTGTTCCTAGCGACTTTATTTGAAAGTGCGGCATTTGTTGCGCGCAAAGCAGCATATACCACCGCGTGCTACCAAACGTTTTAGTAAAAGATTTAAAAACTGTTAGACCTCCGCTGACGTCACAAATTCTAAGGGGGCATACCAATGCATTAGCCCCTTAGAATCCGAAAACTGCAAGTTTGAAATTCCATATCTCCGAATTAAAGCATTTTTCGATGTTGTGAGTGCCCAAACCGGTATTTTCAGGCCATGGCCACCAATTTGGCTATCTCAACTCAAAACTAATGTTAAAGGGACTATCCCACCTTCAAAAAAGTCCCGTTTATGATTCGGAAATGTTACTCAGGGTATTGTGACGAATTCTGCAAGTTATTACGCATTTTCATACTATACTTTTTGAGATATTTCGACTTTTATATTTCATCGTGACGTCATTTAGATCGGATCTGTGACGTCATGAAGGATTTACTTCATGCCAATGAGGGGGGAAATTTGGCAGCAAATATATTTGCTTTCAAATATGACGTGGCTCATACAATAACAAAAGTGTCTCTGATTTGGCAATTTGTAGTTGGCAATAGGTGTGATACCTTAATGACACGTAGTCAATGTAAGTTTGTTGGACTTCCTGCACATAAAATTCAAATACTAACATCACAATTCACATAGGAAAGGAGCATATTTTCACCATTACTTTTAACATGTTTGTGTCAATTTTAGATACCTACAAAGTGAACAAGTCTGAAATCTGAATGAAAATAACAAACATAATATTTCCTGACCTAACCTTACCTACTTTCCTAAAATGTTTGTAATGCTAACCTAAAACCTCCATGCCAGATGCCTACAACCTACAAACCTTTCAACCAGCATACTACATAAAACCTCACAAGCTATTCCATTCCGAACCTATTGATTAGGATCTTTGGTATGCTTTTACTCATTTCATCTTAGCTTGCTATCATAGTAAACATGCAGGTATCTAAAGAAATGTTTTGTTTTTCCTTCTTAGCTGTTGAAATTTCTTAACCCGCGCACCGACGGGGGTCTGCGCCAACTTAGTACCGACGGGGGGGGGGCGGATGACCGCCCCCCCTGAGATCTCGAGAACGAAGCAAGATAGCGACAAGCGGTAAACGGCATCGGATACGCACGGTCAAGATCTACAATTTTTACTAAGGTCATTTTCAGGTCAGGTCAAAGATGACGTCACAGGGGTCGAAAAAGTCAAAATGGCGGCGCTGGATATGGAGAGAGTTTTTCTCGAATAACTTTCGAATTAGTCCAGCTAGGAACAAACTAAGGGCATCATCGTGATCCTCTCGTCAATCCGCATCGAATGATATATATGTTGACCTCGAAAGGTCAAGGTCAAAGGTTGACCTCAGGTCACGTGACCTCGAGGTCATCATGTATATCATTCGATGCGTCTTGACGAGCTGAACACAATGAGACCATCCACGCGTCTGTATCTTGTTCCTGTACGGAGTTATTGGCCGAAAACCTTTGGTGACCTTTGATGACGTCACATGACCTCACAGCTGCCCAACAGCAAAACAGACCTCAAGGTAGTGAAGGTTGATCGTATATGAAGTCATGTATGGTATATGGGGCCATTCCGACCCGTTTTAGTGGTAAAAACAGGGAGTTGATTTTTCCCCCATTGACTTATAATGGGGAGGTCGCGAAATTGACCTGACCTTAGGTCACCGATATCAAAATTCCGAGATATACAAATTGTAGCTACTAATGACCTAATAACATCCTGCGACTTTCAAAGGCCTCCGACATCTACTGTAGCTCTGGCACGGTGACAAAGTTGCAAAAAAGTGACTTGAGGTTGGGTCATTCAAAGTGACCTGGTGACCTGACCTTGAAAGGTAGGAGGTTCAAACTTGCACACCATGTGTAAAATTGATGAGGGAATAGTCATACCAAATTTCGCGGCGCTACGCGCCGCGGTTTTCCCGCTATTCGCGAAAAACCTCAGGGGGGGGGGCGGATATCCGCCCCCCCGTCGGTGCGCGGGTTAAAAGCCAACACAACACACTATGCAGTAAGCACATGACAGAGGTCTCTGTCACTGCGTGATGAAACTCGCAATGCTGCTTGCAGGCTGTTGACAGGAAGTGATAAGTAAGTTACGACTTTCGCATACTACTATATTTTTTTGTACACAAGGAGTTGGTCACTGATTGAACATGTCTCAGCATCATATTTGAATACTGATAATTATATACCCGAGCATTGACCCATCAATTGAAACTTGAAAAGTAGATAAGTGCGTAGCAAAATGGGTTGGTGAAGAGTAAATTGCCTATATAAAACATGCAATGTTCACTATACCTATAACATACTGCATAAAAAATGTAGCCTGCTCCATAAAAATGTAGTCTGTTGACTGTTCCATGTCATTTTTGCGCCTATTATGGTCAAAGCCGCTTCTTCAATTTCCTTCTTCATTCAGTGCAACTGCAGGGATGCAGCCAAGGGGGTGTCCACGCAGCCCCCGTTCACGAGCTCCAGAATCCCTTACCGTGACGTCACCACGGCGGTAGAATCTCCCTTCACCCATTGGCATGCATGCAAATTTCATCATCTTTCGAGCGAGCTGGAAAAAACAAGGGTTATGTGTCATGAAAAGTTGTACTAATGTAACAATAAGTTCACCTCATTACGATAAATGGGGCTGAAACTAAAAAATTGGGCTATATCGAGCCAAAATCAGCAATTCAAATGACCCATTCATTAGAACGTGAAGGATTTCCTCTGATGACGTCACCACGGCGCCTTTATTTCCCTAGTGAACCAACCTGAGTAGTAAAGGAATCTTGTGTCCACGGCCCACGGGTGTCATGGTCTCCCCCTGAAGGTGAAAAATAAAATTAAATTAAATAAAAAATAAAAATAAATTAAAACAGCTGCACCACACCCCCAAAAATAGTGGGCCAAATCCGAGGAGTTTTCCTTTTTGAAGGGGGTACGACACTAGGCCCCGACCTGTGGCCCCTCCCTCAGCAAAATCTTGCCTACGGTCCAATAATTTGTGTCTATGCTATATTTCTCTGACTATTCTATAAAGGAGCTATGCAATCCTGTTTTATTTCTAGGTTCATGCTATTCTGAGGTGAAACATTTTCCTGGCGTGGTGGCACTTTGTTAGTGTGGGGTGAGGTAGGTGTGGCTGTGATGTGGCTGACCCTGTCGGGTCCCACTCCCCCTCTGACCCGCCCGCGCCGCGCGTCCCGTCAGGTTGCCGTGTGGCGCGGCGCTCCGCCAGCTGCTGCGCCGGGGTTAGCGGCGCTCAGCAGAGCTATCAGCTGACACGGCGCGCCGTGCTCGATCGCCACGGCGCATGTGCCGCTGCGCGACGCGCCGGGCGCCGACGGCCGTCGTCTGGCAGCAACAGCGCTGCCAGTGACTCGCTCTGCTGCTGCAGAAACTGGACAAGGATCGTAGAATCGTGGCGTTCCATCCTTCGATTAATATCGATCATTTTCGGATGCTTCAATTTTAAGTTCGAACTTCAGGCCACAAAACAAACTACCATACAAACAACGGACATATTAAAGCTGGCTTCTTCTTCTTGCACCAGGTGGCAGCACTTCTTTTCGAAAATCATTGCTTATCTTTCCAAAATCATGATTTCCTCGCTGAGGAGTGAAATCGGCTTCATCGTTGTCAAAAATAGCAGAATCGTTGCCATTTTTGGCACGTGTGACAAAAATAGAAGGGGCTAAAAATGACAACGATTGACCAAACCTCCCCCGACTGGAATCTTTTGTGAACTTTTTCTCAGTCTAAAGGCCGGGCTCCACTACGCGTTTTTTCCGTGCGTTTTATCCGAGACATCGGTTTTTGCGTGAAATCGTTCCCGAAAAAAAGTTCGCATCATTGCTCAACATTGGGCAAGCTACACTGGGAACGATGTCACGCAAAACACGACAACTTGCAAATCCCGTACCGATTTTAAGGAAATCTCGGTAAAACGCATGACGATGTCACGCAAACTCGGAAATCTTGTACCTATAAAAAGTTCAATTATTTGAACTTTTCATCGTTTTTTGCGTGATACGGCCGGGAGACATAACTTGTGCGCTGCGGCAAACAGTGTGAATGTAATTTTGTGTTTGTTTTTGACGTTGTTAAATATGTTTTTAATTATTGTGTTGAAGCTAGGAAATTTCTGTAGAAGTGTTTTTAGTGTAAAGAGGATGAGTGAAGGTAAGAAATAATAAACATAGCAACCCTACATATTTCATTTTGCGCTTAAAGCAGTGTCAATGAAGGGAAAAAGAGTTTTAATTCAAATAGAAATTGGCGCAGTGGTGATAGGTTGGTTCGAAATTAAATGAACTAGCTGCAATGCAGAAATTTCAGCTCAAAATTGCTTGTGTCGAGTTTCGGCGTATGAGGGTATCACGGGCGTCCAGCTAGTGTATGGAATGTTTTCCAGTATGGTGCATTGACATAGGTAGGCGGAATGTTAAAAATAAAAAATCCCTTGCCCTCTTCAGCCACCAGTGGCTGGCCATGAAACAAGTTATGTATTCAAGCGAGTTTATCATGGGTGCAAGGCTAGCAACATGTGCAAGACACTTCAGCATCAAATTCTGCTCAATTTTGTCATTGATGCCCTTCAAAAAATAAACAGGTACATCAAAAGGAATGTACACGCCGAGCACAGAGGCTCCGGCGTGAGAAAGCCCAGCCTTGTGCCGTGCTGCCATCCACTTGCTGAACTGGGTGCGGGTGAAGATTGATTGGTGGGTCCATGCTGCTATGCAACAACCTCTGCTTAGTGGGCACCCGGGCTCAAAGCCACCCACTCAACCCTTCAGACAAATTTTATAAAAGTTTGGTTTACTTTTTATTAAATGTACCTACTTGCAATTAGCACATTCTTTATAGGCTCAAAATAAACAAAGTGATTTTCCGCGTAGTGGAGCCTGGGTTTAATGACAACAATGTCACGTGCTTCAGGATGACAAGCAAAAAACGATATCACGCAAAAACCGACAAATTGCAAAACCGATTTCACGCAAAAACCGATGTCTCGGATAAAACGCGCGTGAAAAAAAAACGCGTAGTGGAGCCCGGCCTTAAAGGCCGGGCTCCACTACGCGTTTTTTTATTGATAAGCAATGAAAAACCGATGTCTCGGATAAAACGCACGGAAAAAACGCGTAGTGGAGCCCGGCCTTTAGACTGAGAAAAAGTTCACAAAAGATTCCAGTCGGGGGAGGTTTGGTCAATCGTTGTCATTTTTAGCCCCTTCTATTTTTGTCACACGTGCCAAAAATGGCAACGATTCTGCTATTTTTGACAACGATGAAGCCGATTTCACTCCTCAGCGAGGAAATCATGATTTTGGAAAGATAAGCAATGATTTTCGAAAAGAAGTGCTGCCACCTGGTGCAAGAAGAAGAAGCCAGCTTTAATATGTCCGTTGTTTGTATGGTAGTTTGTTTTGTGGCCTGAAGTTCGAACTTAAAATTGAAGCATCCGAAAATGATCGATATTAATCGAAAATATGATGTTGATGAAAAAATGATATGTTAAGTCGAGAGAGGAGGTTATTTTATCCAGATGCGGTGGTTCTTGAAATCTTCTTCTTGAAATTATTTTTGCTATAATTGACGGCCGCGCAATTATTCGAAATGTGTACTTTACTTAAAGGCTGGCTCAAATTATTTTTCCTATAATTATAAAATTTGCTATAATATAATTGACGGCCGCGCATCATCCGTCATTACATGGCGATCGCCATAAACAAAAATAATTTCAAGATGTAAACACCGCATCTGGATGAAATCGCCTCCTATTTCAACTAAACATATTCTTTTTTCATCAACATTATGTTTTCGATCAATATTGATCTTTTTCGGATGCTGCAAATTAAAGTTCCAACTTCAGGCCACAAAAAAAGGGTATATACGTCAACGTTGGACTACCATACAAACAACGGCCATATTAACCCGCGACCTGGTGGGGGGGGGACTATTTTTTGCCCCCCCCCCCTCCAGACTTTTCAATATATCTCCAGAACCGCTGCGCCGATCGTCACCAAACTTTCAGTACCCTCCCGGGCATCACTTTTACACATTGTGACCAACAATTTTTCCAAAGGTTATGATAGGTTGGCCGGAAATGACGTCAGAGTGACGTCATTTTCTGCCGTTTTCGACCCAAAAAAGGGTTTCGCGGGAAGAGCTGTCAGGCCTATAGCTTTGCAAATACAGAAAAATGATTAGGACATAAAAGCTGTAGAATTGACAGGGCTACAAAACTGCTATCTCGAATTTTTAAAAAATTTTGGATTTTGATCCCCAAAAATAAAAAAAAATATTTTTTTTTGGATATAATAGTCGAAAAATCCAAAAAGTTTTTTGAATTTCGCAAAAACCGGAATATATGTGATAGTCCTTACCGCTTTCCATCCACATACCAAATTTGAGATTGATACCTCTTTTTTGGCGAAGTTATAGCGAAAAAACTGTTCAAAATTGATGACGTCAAATTTTCAAACTCAATTTTTAGCAATTCTAGACCCCGTAGCGCAAAACAAAGACCACCATTAGACTCCCCGTGACGAGCTGCATCGGCTTCTAGTGAGTGGCCCAAAAAACAATGTAAGTGGCCTTATCTCGCGCATGGAGGCCTCACTAGAAGCACTGAACAAATGGTTCCACTCAAACGCCCTGAAGGTCAACGCGAGCAAAACGCAACTCATGATATTCGGCAGCCGTCAAAATCTAAAACACTTGCCCCCAGTCGTCGTATCGTTTCGTGACACGGAGCTGGAACCATGTGCGCAGGCAGGAAACCTCGGCGTGGTGTTTGACAGCTGTCTGACCTGGGAAGCCCATGTATCTGAGCTCAGCCGGAGGTGTATGGGTCTGCTCATCGGCCTCTCCCATGTGCGGCACTGTCTTCCCGATGGGGTCATCAAAACCATTGTCACATCTCTAGTCATCTCCCGAGTAAATTACTGCCTCTCAGTTTACGGAAATGGTACAAAAAAGAACCTGAATCGACTCCAAAAGATCTTGAACTTCGCTACTCGAGTTATTTTTGGCCGCCGCAAATTCGACCACGTCACTGACCTGCGCGAGAAACTCAACTGGATGCCGCCCGAATTTATGTACAAACTTCAAACCATGGCCACTGCACGTAAGGCGATACACTACGGCGAACCGGTAGCACTTGCCTCTATGTTTGCCAAAAACCGGGACTCCTCAACCAGGAATAGAAATACACGTCAGGATAACCTTCTCCAGCTCCAGCGTCCCAGACTAGAAACCGGCAAGCGGCGTTTCAGTTACCGTGCCGCCGCGCTCCTAAACGACCTACCTCCCGAACTCTCACAGCTGCCACCCTCTAAATTCGCACGCGCTGTCAAGTCTCTGTGGAAAAACGATAGACCTTCGTGATGACCTGAATTAGGCACTCGTCTTGTATATAAGTACACGGTACGTTAGAAATCGTAGCATATAGAGTCTTCCTGTGTGTGCGTGTGTGTGTGTGTGTGTTGTTGTTCGACTGGTCTCTGTTCCCGCATGCTTATACCCGACTCAGACTCTGGGCAGTAATCGCCACGCCATGTGTGGATCGCCCATGATCGTAAATACATACATACATACATACATACAATCAATACCCATTTTATGCAAAACTATCAACTTTAAAATTTGACCTTTTTTGGCCTGACCTTGACCTGACCTTGACCTGACCTTCACCAGAAAGTGACTTAAGCCGTACCTGATAGTCTTATAACCAACACCATTGAGTTGGAAATGAAAAATTGGCCATAAAACATGCATCACACAACCTTAGTAAAGTTGGGTTCATGTGACCTGACCTGTGACCCTTGGTGACCTGACCTGTGACCTGACCTGGTATTGTCAGTGACCTCTAATAGCAACATATCTACTAGGCAACTGACGCCCTATCGCTGATTCTCGACAAAATGCGTTTTCCTTGGTGTTATAGCGCATTCCCTAGAAGACCCGTGAACGGTGAAACATTTCATCTTTGACCTGACCTGTGACGTCATCAGTGACCCTGAGGTCAATGAAATTTGGTTTCCTAAGACAAATTCGACAGGCCTTTCGAACGCCGTTTGAATTTTGCGGATCCGTCCAGTAGTTTCGGAGATACGAGGGGGGGGGGCAAAAAATAGCCCCCCCCCCCCCCCCACCAGGTCGCGTTATAAACAGACCCCACCAGGGCGCGGGTTAAAGCTGGTTTAATCTTCTTGCACCAAGGTGGCAGCACCTTTTTCCAAAATCAGTGCTTGTGTTTCCAAAATCGTGATTTCCTCGCTGAGGAGTGAAATCGGCTTCATCGTTGCCAAAAATAGCTGATAGCGTTGTCATTTTTGGCACATGGTTGCCAAAAATGGCATGTGCTAAAAATGACAACGATTGACCAAACCTCCCCCGACTGATTCATCTGCACTGCGGCCAAAACTGTGT